GAAGGGCTGAGTGGGGCCAGATCCCCAAATCCCAGGAGCTCCCTGACAAGTGACCTCGAGAGAGAAAGGCAGGGAAAAATCCTGCAGCTCTGAGTGCCACTCGCCACTCCGCAATGTCTGCTGCTGGGCAGGAGGGGATGGGAAACGCTCAACTTGCTGACAGCCGGCAGGTTTCTCCACCAAATAGTGACACGAGGGGGTGCTATTTTAGGCACGGTTTTGGTAAGGAAAAGAGACGTGAAAATAACCTTGGATGGAGCAATTAATGCCATACGGGCTGAAGGGGAGGATGAGCCGCACTAGGGCAGGCAGGGCTGCGTGGTTCGAAGGACACGCTCTGAAAAATTACGAGAGCTGACTAGAGAAGTCAACCAGAGGAAGGAGCCCGGGGTCTGGCACATGGAGGATGCATGGAATTCCTTTAAGTCCAACGGGCAAAACCCATCTGAAAATCGTAACTTTAAAAAGAGGCAGAAAGATTGATGAGGAATGGCTGCAGGAGGGCATCAGACCTAAAGCAGCAGGGAAAAGGCATGAGGAGAAAGCACAATTTGTGAGGCACAGGAAAAAAAATTAAAATACATATATGTGTAATACAAACTTGTTGGTTAGGAACAGTGCATTGGTTGTTACCTCCTCTAACAGAGAACAACTGCTGTCCCTTAAATCCTCCTGCCTGTACTCCCTCTGTGCTGCTCCTGAGTTCATTCAGCCCCTGGTCTTTGAACACTGGAGGTGAGATTTGTTAAAAGTCGAGCCAGTCAGACCTAGCAAAGGCAATTAAATAGCAAAACTCTTCAGCAGTATAAATAGTAAGAGAACAAGGACAAAAGGAGGGCCACCAGGCGCTCAGGGTGAGGTAAAAATGAAGAAGAAAAACCTATTCCTTTAATAGCCTTATTGTCAAAAAGGGCAGAGCCCATCCCAGGGGCACAGGGGCTTTGCAGATGTCCACACTGGCACAGTGAGTTCCTTACAGGGAAGCTGCAAGTTGCAGTTCACAAGGCAGCAGCATATTGATAAAAGAGAATTTTCACATGAGCTTGGCACTACCGTTAAGAATTTTGATCTTAAAAAGATGTTTCGAAGTCAAACCCGTAAAGAATGATAAACAAACTTTGCACCACTCAGACCCAGCAAACAAACCTCCTGGACTGAGACGAAACGAGGGAAGGCCGAGGCGAGTGGAGCTGGTGGGGGGTGTCTAAGGGGCTGCGGGGGG